TGCTGGTCCCCGAATCCCCACTCGGCCTCGTATCTTGACCCTGACTCCCGTTTACCGCCCGTCGAGCAAGCCCATTAAGCCTCAGGACCACTATTGACTCCAAGTACAACTAGTGTACAACAGAGTGCACTATTGGAGAGGATTGCTTTAACAAAGTACTCCTCCTCCATCTCCTTCAGTTGTACTTTGTTTTCCCTGTCAAAGTCCTCAGGGCCCCCCACTTCAGCTCGTCATTCACCAAACCATCGAATCGAAACTCAGCGGCTGGGCATGCCCTCCCGGGTCAGGCTGTTAGACTCTTCGAAGTACAGACTAACTCCCACACAGCCCCATCGCTCTTTGATCCAAGCCAATGCCATTATCGTCCACTCTCCGCCATTCCCCATTGTTTGACGCCACTCCATTGTCCAGACTTCGATCTCGAAGCTCGCAACATTACACTACACTAACATTCAAGTGCGTGCTGCACTTCGAAATAGCGACTCGCTGCCCCACTAGCCTAAAAAGGCTCAAACCAAGATAGACAAACAGACCCGCCTGGCCTTGCCCCGACTCCATATCTCTCCATATTGATCCATTGTCCCTCAACTGCACTAGCCAAAACCCTTTTTCTCGTGAGAAGGCCTGTGCTGGCTTGTGTTCCTTGTTTCCCCCTTCCCCGCCTCGACCCCCTCCTCTTCACTAGCCTCTAGCCTCTCTAGGCCGGGCCCTGTTTGCTGTGACAGTACCCGCCAGCGGCTCGGCAAGGGGAAAAGGCGAGGACCCTGATTCCACTGAATAAAAGGACCTGGACACGCCTGTCCATGCCTGCCCACACCCTTGCTGCGTCGGCTTTTCATTATAATATCTACAGGCATCCAATATCTGCACAACTCGATTTTCGATTCTGAAAGCGACGTGACCAAAAGGATAAAGACCCCACCGCCGTGCATTGTCTCCAGGTCGACGAACCAAAGGGGGTCCAAAGATAGGCCAAAAGAGAGATTTCCTTCTAGTCGTCCTGACCGCAAGTTTCGTCCCTAGACATTTCATCTGCAAGATTCCCCTGCCTCTTGGAAATTACTTTCTTTTTCTGTTTCCCTTTTCCGCCTCTGGATATCTTGCGTCCTACTTTGTCCGAACTTCCAGCCCGGTCATAATCGCGCATTCCAACTTCGGATTGAACAAATCAACTTCTCAGCCACTTCGAAACCCTGCTGCATTGGTTTTATTCTTATGAACCATACTCCCTCTCCTTTGTCTTCCGAGAACCAACTCCAACAAAACCCTCCAATGGGTGTATCAATATCCTAGTTCGCAAGGAAAAAAGAAAAGAGAAAAAAGGAAAGCCTACAATCACTTGCAGCTATGTCATCATCAACAGCGACCGCGGCTATAACACGAGGCCGCCGCCTCTCCAAGGGCCAAACCTACGCCTCCATCACCATCCTCCCGAAATCCGCACACAGCTTCGACGACACCGTACAAATAGTACAGCAACAAAAATCCGACAACAAAGCCACGGGCCCTTATAATATGCAGCGTCAAGACTCCGGCTACGAATCGCTTGTATCCACGAAGTCTACAAAATCCTCCACCCCCACCAACACCACTGACATCACCAACATCACCAACACTACCACCGCAACCACCACAACCGCGGCTTCTGCTAGCGCTGCTGCCGCTGCCGCCGCAGCCCTCCGGGCCCGCAAGCTCAGCTCCGAATCCTTCACGCCGCCAACCAGGTCTCTCGGCTCGAAGGCCCTCTCCCCAGGCGGAGGAGCCCCCCGCTTCGCTGCACCAGGCTGCTCCTCCCTCTACTCGGCCCAAACCCGAACAACCATGTCTCCGCACACCCTCTTCCAATTCCCCGAACCCGACATCACCGTCCCTGAAGTCGAGGACACCGTCGCCTCCCGCCCTCCCATGCCGCCTCCGACGACTCAATACTGGACGAGCGATCACACCCGCCGACTCGAGTACGCCGCTATAGACGCGGCGAGGCGAGGCGTTCGTGGCTGGGTCCGGAGGAACTTGGTGCCTAACTGCATGGTTCCTAAGGACGGTGGCCACCTCGACTTTGACGACGACTCGGGGAGTGTGAGGCGGTATCGCCTGGAGTTGGACGATGCGGAGACGATGCATGGTGCAGAGGGGAAGTCGAGGAGAAGCCGGTGGTTCCCGTGGTTGCGGAAGACCATGAGGGTTTGAAATGGTTCCCGGTGAATCTCACTGAACTAGAAATGAACCCTCTGGCATGCCGTTCATGAGACCAAGCGTTTTCTATTTCCCTGCATTTTTCATTTGGAGCAAGCAAATCACAGCAAAAAAAAGCATCATGAACTGGCGTTTCATACCCCAATCGAATTTTCAACTCGCGCATTTTCGAGGATGTTTTTCAGTTTTTCAGAATGCGCATCATCCTCAGCATCATCAGCAGCAGGAGCAGGAGCAGGAGCAGTGTCATCAACATCATATACAGCAGGAAAGAAGAGCGAAAGATTGCGCATGTATTCGAGCCCGAGGACTTGAACAACTCGAACTTCGATACCGTTTTTTTACGCATGTGGTTTTTGTACAACTGGCGTCATATATATCGTTTTAATGTTCCTTTTTTTTTCATTATCATTTCCTTTGTTTATGAGAGATTTAGCACGAGAGGATATTTTCACAGCATCTTGGACAGCGGATGGCGAAAGCATGAAGAAAACGTCGAAACTGAAGGAATTTTTTACGAAGTTTAAGCTTAACTAGATGATAGATACGAGGCAAAAAGAAACAGACATGTTTTGAAATTCAATTCTATACACAGGTATTTCCCAAACAGAAAGCTCGTCTCGAGACCTCGAATGAATACCCTGCATATTTACCTTATTACACACCCCTGAAAGTCATCCGAGGCTCGCATCGCATGCCAAAACGATCTCGTATGCATGCTGCTGGAAACGGAAGGCTTTGTCGTTGACCGCTTGTTTGGGGCCCGATGAAACCTTCGCCCCCCGACACAAGCCGTTATTTTAGTCTCGCGATCAGTGAGGGGCAAGAGCCGCGTTAGTTCGTGGAGAGGGGCTCGTCTAGTGTTGCTTGAGCAAGAAAAAATTAGGGTATTGAGGGGGGGAATTAGGCGAGGGGGCGTATCCCGTGCCGAAGCGGAGCCGTTCTGAGGACGCGCCGGTTGGTATGATCCGAGCCGTGTCCCGAGATGTTCCGGAGAAGGGGAGCGGCGTGTGTGGAGGGTCTTTTATTGCTTTATTGCGTGATTATCTTTTGCGGGGGAGATGTTTGATGAGAGTGGAGTTTAAGCTAGTTTCAAAGACGCGGATGGGAGAGATCGTGGTGAGTTTGACGCTGTTTATTGGGTCAAATGTGTGTATTTTTACAGGATTAACTTGATGGTGCCTGAAGGGTATTTCCGCCTGGATGTAAAATGACAATGTAAACACTGGACGAAAGCAACTCTGCGCCAAACTCCTTTGATGCTACCAAGCCGTTCCATAGACAAATAAAGATACCGCAAGCCAGTAGATGTAGGAGTCCATAAATGTGATCCACCTAGCGACCTCTCTCCTCAAATGGGAAAAAAAAAAAACAATAACCATATCCAAGTCCTCCTTCCATCAACTCAAAGGCGCCTCGGCCCCATAGGCGAAGGTGACCTCGATCCCGCTCTCGACGAGAGTACCCAATAAGAGGCTCGCTCCTCACTCTCCACCTTCACTCTCCCCGGTGGACTCGCAACCGGAGGCGGATACAACCCCGGCGTCAAAGGTGGTTCGGCAAGGAGCGGGACGGCGGTCCTCTCGGCGTTGGTTTGGTCTTCTTTAGACATGTCCTTGTCGTAAGGGCGAAAGCGTAACTCATCGCTGATTTCGGCATCGGTTCTCTTTTTGCGGCCGATTAAGATGAGGATTAGGATAGTGATAAGGATGGCGGCGACGCTGATGCCGACGAGGGCTTGAGAGATTGGGTCATCGAGGGTGATAGAGCGGCGGGTTAATGTGGTGGTGGTGGAGGTGGATGTGAGAAAGTGTGATGTTGGCGCCATTGTCTTGTTTTTTCCCTTCCTTTACGGTTTTCTGTATGGAGATACCGAGGTATGTAGGCTATTGATTTAATGTTGGTGATGTTTGCTTCATTGTTCGACATGGCACGGAATTGCTTCACTCCAAAGTTTACGAGGGGGTTCACCGTAGATATACACCGGAACGACATAGAAAACGAGGCGGAAAGTGCAAAGCTACGATCTACAACGGGGAAACGCCAAGAATTACATCGATCCATCTGCCTTTGCATATCGTCGCGAAAAGAACGCCTATAATAAAAGGATCAAGGCGTTCCCGTTAAAGGCCGTATTGGGCCCTCGGTTTCGGTGACCGGGAGGTTACACACATTCTGTGGCGATGCAAGAGAAAAAATTCCGCAGTCTCGTGGCCAGTCTTCCCAAAGGCTGAGGCAGTGTGCCCATAATGGGATTGTCGGTCTTGCTGCGGTTGGCCAGGAAGGCAGGCAGGGCGGACGACCAGAGTTAGGCAGGGCGAGAAATGGGTCGCGGATCGGAGGTGGGAGTGCCCTCGTGTTTGGTTCCTTTGGGAGTCTGTGTCTATTCTCGGTGTCGATAATGTCTCCTTCGGGGAAAGAATTGGTGGATGAATTGAACAGTCCAAGTGCCTTCTGTCCCTTGGACTTGCTTCGTCGGACGAATGAGGTCCAAATTTGAAGACTCAAATTCTCAAGCGGCTCTTAGCCTTTGGATGAATAAGCCAAAGAGTACGTACCGAGACTCCGGATGAAGTAATAATACGACGTCACTGATTGGGAGCAAATGGCAAAAAGGAAAAAAAGAAATTTATTCGCGCCGCGCATCATGGACTGACAATTGCAGCCAATCCATCAGATCCATAGCTCCAATCCCACCATCCCTCGGTAATCCATCCCACGGCCCCAACTCGACCTTCTTCTTTGCTGAAAGAGGGAGTCTTTTGTTTATTTTGCCGCTCAGCCTCAATTCTTCGTCGTGAGCTATGGGTTGGTTCTGGGCCGATACCTCCGCGACCGCGGCTCCCGCGAGCACACCCGCCGCAACGGGCTGTCCTGTCCCTCATGCGGCTCGCTCGAGACCTGCCGCAGCACAGGATGGCCAGGCTCCGCCGGTAGGAATCCCTCCTTTTCAATGCACCGGGCGAGGATCAATGGGATGGACAGATTGCTGGAGGAACTTTTCCGAGCTTCCTGGCACCTTATCACTAACTCCGTCCAGGCCGGATGCCCCATGCACAAAGCTACCATTGACGCCTTCACCGTGAGCAAGCACAAGCGTCCCACGACCGACGACGCCGCTCCCTCTGCCTGTCCCGTCCCCCACGGCCAACCCCAGCCCGCCCCCAAGGAGAAATCCCTTCTCTCCCAGCTCAACCCCCTCAACTACATGTTCCCCGACCTCTCCAACGCGCCCGCCCCGAACCAATCCATCAAGCTCCCTACGAGCCGCGAAGAGTCCTCCATCCCCCGCGCCGACGCCAACGAGAACTGGGAGTACCCTTCTCCACAGCAAATGTACCACGCCCTCCTGCGCAAGGGTTACCAGGACACCGACATCACCGCCGTCGAGGAGATGGTCGCCGTGCACAACTTCCTTAACGAGGGGGCCTGGGCCGAAGTCGTCGGTTGGGAGAAGAGGTTTTCTAGCGGGCTGATGAAGGGGTGGGAGGCGTGTAGGAGGGGCGAGGAGAATGCGCCGGAGCAGTTGATGAAGATGAGGGAGGCTTATGAGACTGAGCCGACTTTGATTCGGTTCCAGGGACGGCCGAAGGAGATGACGCCTAAGGCTGCTTTCCTTCAGCTTATGGCCCGCGTCTACCCGTCCAAGTTTGGGTGAGTGGAATTCTATGTGAAATCTCTCAGATTGCTCCGAACTAACCGGTTTCCCACCAGAATGGAACCCCCCTTCGATCGCCACGATTGGTACGTCGCCCGAAACGTCAACGGCCAAACAAAGGAAGTCCGCTACGTCATCGACTACTATACCGGCCCTCCCGAACCCACCGGCGAACCCGTTTTCTACCTCGACGTCCGCCCAGCCATGACGCCCACCGGCGCCGCTGAGCGTTTCATCCGCTGGGGCAGCGACGTCTGGTGGCGCGCTTCCGGTGGATCCGCGAGGGAGGCTGAGAAGCAAGTTAAGACTACTTGAAAGTCGCTAGTCACTTTGCGAGCCCTTTGTAAGAGAAGTGGAAACCATCGGATGGGAAAAGCATTGACCTAGGAGTTTTTCGGTCGTTTTGGGCTCTCTGGGTGGGTTTAGGAATGCCCCCGGAATCGCCGTTTCTTTTTTTCTTGGATGTAATATGCATTTTTGTACAACACTCACTCCCCTCTTGAAGCTAAAAAGGGCTTGGATGGCCTGGGAGATTTCGATCGGACGTAAGAAATATGGATGGGTGTATTATAGTACGACAGTCTGGAAGACAAGTTAATGAAGTTTTAATGCCCTGCCCGTATGGGTACTTGGGGTTTCGCGTGGAAAGGATAGTAGCTTGATATTGATGTCTGATAAGTCAACTCAATGCTCCGCGAACGCTCACATAGATATTCTATCCTACGATGAAACAGACCGCGCCATCAAGTGGTTACTTAATCTATGCCCACGATGAGGAATTCCTCTACTGCGTTCGTACGGCAAGGCACCCCTCATATACGACCAGCAGAGAATACGACCAGCAGAGAAAACGGCATTACCCTCGCTCACGGTCGTCGTCACCTCCTTTTGGAGACTTAAGTATTTTTCGAGCGCTCCCTCCCAAGCCTGTGTGCCTCCAGGATTGATTCGTCTCTTCCCTTTTAATGGGGGATATAAGAGGCGCAATATGTTATCGGATGCCTAACGGATGCTGTCCACGACGTGGGATCGGGGGCAGCGTATGTTAAGCCCTTCCAGATAATGTCTATCATCACTTCAATGTCGCCTTTGAATCCCGTTCTCTTCGACTCCTTGTCTTAAGATGCCGTGCAGCTCAAAAGCGGATTGGCCATCATGCAACAGGGGGGCCGAACAACGGAATGCTCCCTGACAGTGGTATGGTAAACACTGGCGCCGTGTTGGAGATATTCAGCCATTCGATTGATGGAGTAAGCCAGTCCTATGGCGTTCGTTCAGGGGATCTCTGCCGTATTCCGGGCTTTCTTATTCCTAGATCGCGTCTCGTATCCCTCCGTTGCGTCCGAACACCGTCGTTTCTTCCCTCGTGCCGTTGTGGCCTCCGACGCAGACATGGGTATTTTAGACTGGCTAGCACAAGACGCGAGGGGAAGGATAGTCCGCGAGAAATTTGTCCCGAGGCTGGAGGGCGGGGGCGTTGGGAGACGATCAGCCGATGGCAGGTCTTTCGGGGCTTTTGACTGCGGCTTGAACATGATCTCCACAATCTCCCTCTCTCTCTCCCAAGCCTCCTCACTATCACTCGGCGGCGAAGGAGCATCCCAGAGTTCGTAAAGCCTCTCGATCTCTTTATTGCATTTCTCCATCACATGAGGCGGCGTATGCCGCGGGAGATATTCGAACGCAGCATCTCCATATTTCTTCCGTCGGAATTCTTGGGTCTCGAGGACCAGCTCCAGTTTCGCAGTGAGAGTGGCTGCGAATTCCTGTATTGTAGCTTCCGGGTCCCGGGGGCGATTATGATCGGGGGTATTTGGTCGAGTGACGAGGTAGGCTCCATTGGACGCGACGATATCAAGCTGTTCCAGACAGGTTTCCAGTTTCGGTTTATGCAAGATCATTTCGATCTCCTGTATATAACGCACGGCAGGGATGTCGTCTGTCGTCGCCCTTTGGTGGGCCTGCAGGATAGCCTCGTACGTGTCGTTGAAGGCGAGCTTCGCAGGAACATTGGCGGGCGTCAGAGTAGCAAAAGGTAGATCCATCTTGCCAGAATCCAAGGTAGAAGACGAACAAGCCCAGAGATAGTATGGGTTGGAAATATGCGTGCCTGTTGGCATCTTGAAAGTGATTTGCCCTCGACACGATTACCTTCGTGTTCGCAAAAAACTTAGTATCGGGCTATTTTTTTGCGTTGAAAGTAGCAGGTCTTTTCTGTGGAGTTAAGGAAATCCCATTTTATGATGGAGGAATGGACTCCTGGAAGGTACAGCCCTCAAGCCAACGAAGGGGTCGCCGCTGCCTGATATTTGTTTGTCGTCACCCACAAACAAGGCACACGATGTGTCAGCCCCGTTGCGGCATATCGCCTTGCCGAAATGTTGGCATACGAGACGACGAGGGCTTACTTACATGGCAGGGAGTAAGAGAGGCGGCCAACTTCCAAAGAAAGGCTGGGGTGAGGGGGCTCGCCTCCTCAGAAGTGAGGATGACGAGGCATTGATTCTAACACCAGCACCCACCGGTATCAAAACATCATTCCTTTTTTTCCCCTTCTTTCCTTTTCTTTCCCTTCCTTCTTTGGGCTTTACTGATATGCAATACGGAAAAGCAATGCAAACAAAGGACTACGCCCTCAAGAAAAGATATATAAATAAATAATAACAATTTATTTGTTTCGTGTTGCAATAGAAGCCTCCTTTAGAGCTCGTTTCTTTGGTTCTAGCAGAGGGCTGCATTTTCTAATCTTGGGCGCGATTTTTGAGGAATACGAAGTAGGCACAGTCAGCCTTATCTCGGAATACAGATATAATATCTCAACTAAGAGTTCCCGAGTCTGCTTGTTCCATGGTCCGCAGTATTGTTGAAGTGCGGTAGTCGGAGAGTGCACAATGTTCCATGTTAACGATCCCACCCGTAGCACCCACTTCATAATACTTTGTGATACACAACGAGGCTGAATTATATAGCCCACAGCTCATCAACAGACGAGAAGTATTCTCGAGCTTCCGTTTCTGTACAGAGATCTGTAGGTCGGACATACCAGCGAAAAAGAATAGTAGATTCAAGTGACTGGTGGAAACTGCTGTTCAAATAGATGAAAGTAGCTCAAACTATGATCAAATGCCACATCCGTATCTCGGTAGATAGCCGTAACCTCTGCCTGGGAGATGCCGACCACGATGGCATCAAATGGATCAGATAAGTCCTGACGCCCAATCTCGCATTCTCTCAATCAATCTCAATATCGCATCCCAGATCATCACCGCATATTCGGCCACTATCCTCACCAGCGTAACTAACTTAGTTACCCCCCAATATATGCCTTTCCCCAGCGCAAGCAAGATCAACAAACCTAACAGGCAAAGAACCAAACGGCCCAGCTGTTTCACGAAGTTGAAATAGCGCTCAGATAAATTGCGCGTTGTAGTTCTATCCGATCTAGAGCGTGTTGAATAAAATTGTGGAAGGACCGCAACTTGTGGCTCCTGCTCTGTGAATGGGCGCATGATGGTGGTGCCATAGCCGCGAACATCTGCTGCTTCCCGGTCGGCGAGCCTCTCGTGCCTTTGTAGATGTAGCTGTTGACTTGGCGGACTCGGCGGACTCGGTGTACTTGGTGGGCTTGGACCTGGGTGAACAAGAGCCTCCGAAGTAGTCTCTTGGTTCTTAGTTGTCTGTGGAATGAAGTCGCAGTACCTAACCAGCTCGGAGTACGACTCCTCACTAAGCACGAATTCGCTGCGACTTCTGGGGTTGTACCTTGATAGAATACAGAAGTGCACCGAATGCTTCCGCCCAGTCTTAACATATGATTCTTTCGATAGGTTCCGGCATTGGGGCGCTAGGCGTAGAAGGATACCGTTGTCCGGGTGGGGCCGGCATGGATATATCGGCAGGTGCTCGGCCCGGATTTTCATGTTTCGGTCGTCGCGGGGGTGCCGTTCGTTGAGGTCTGTGCTATCGAAAGATGTCATCTATGAGTTTTTTTTTCTCTCATTAGTTATCGAATTACAGACGGTGAGGCGGAGCGCCATCGATGATGTCCAGCTTACTATGAGTATAACCACCTTGCCCTCTTCGTCTGCTTTGGTGGAGAGCACCACGACGGGGTGGTCATAACAACCCTTAAGGCCCGGATTGAAGGCCGGATCGATTTCGCATTCTTTCGGCAGCCACCGAATCTTCCCTGCGAATGACATTGGTGAGGAACATACTTCGTCGGTGGTTTGAGTTCTGAGGGGTATCGGAAAGAACAAGGCTTTGCGGGATCTCACTCTTAGGGCGGCGAAGGGAAGGGAAGAGGAAGAAAGAACCCGAGCTGGCTGCCTGATTTGATCTGTGGAACCAACGGTCATTTTTCGGGGAGGCGTGACTCGAATGATTCCTCGGTAGGGCTGCGGGCTGCGGGCTGCGTTGTTGGCCGCCAGCATGTTGGCCTTGCTCGTGGGGGAGGAAGGAATATGAAGACCGAAGATTGGCTAGCGGGTTGCACCTTCTGGCAGCTCGTTCGTCGACTACGAAGGGAAATTAATGCAAATATAGAAGCAATATGTACTCGAGGAAAGAGGCCGCACATGTGTAAGTAAAAATAGGCAATTTACTTACTCCATGTGAAAGCCTTCTTCGATACTCGTTTTCCACTGTTCTCGTAGAATCCGTGCTGACTTTTCTAGTTTCTTTGTGTGACTTCTGAGGAAGAAGAACCCCCAGCCTTCTCCTGAAATAGGAAGTGAAATCTGCCTTTATGAGTTTGTTGAGCTGAGTTGAAGTTAGACTGGTCCTCTCGATTCTGAGGACCATGGGGCTCAAGTCTCTAGGATATCACCAGCCTCATTTGAAGATGTAGAAAAAGCAGTAGCCAAGAGACAACCCGTCAATTATCACCATAGAAGCCTCTTTTCGTCCAAAATCAATACTAGTCATTGCTCTCGTAGCCTATTGATCCATCCCAGTATCCCCAACGCCGAACCACCCAAACACGAAACATGAAAGCGGAGTGATAAATCTCGAAGTCCCAGCGTGTGGTCCATCCACCGTGGTCCTCGCTACCTCCCCCACCTCGCCAATACTTTCACGACTCCGATATGTCAACGAAGTCCGGCACTAGCAGCACTCTCCCCAACCTTGAGCTCCTCCTCAGGCACACCAACAGCAACACTCCCCGTAATACTAACCCCCCTCTCCCTCTCCACCGCCCTCCCTCCCTCCCTTGGCCCAGCGATCCCAACACCGCCACCAACAGCCCCCGAGACGTTAACACTCGCAACCGTACTAACGCTCTCGCTCCTCTGCCTCGAAGAGCCCGCATCACTCGCCCTCCTCTCCCTCACCATCCTCTCCAACTCCCTAATTCTCCTCTTGAGCACCTCATTCTCCCTCTTCGCCACCTCTAACTCCGACCTATAAAACGCCGTCTCCTCATACCTCGCCGTGCCCTGTATCATCCCAGGAGAATACGGCGGCTCGCCCGCCGCGCTCCCGGGTGTCGCGGCCACTGAGCTTCCCGTCACCGAAGTATGCGGCACGCGCTGTTGTTGCAGATAGTGCAACGATCCGTCGCCGAGGTGGACGTTTTGCGGACCGGGTGAACTCGCCCTGCTGCGGTGGGAAACGCTGCTGTGGCGCGAGAGGTCGTGGGGAGGGGGTGGGTGGAAGGGCCGGCGAGCGTCGGCGGAGGTGCTGAGGAGGGCTGCTGTTTGGCTACGGGCGCTGGTGTTGGAGGATGTTCGGTGGTGGCGGGGGGTGGGGAACGAGTAGCCTGCCCCAGAGAGGAGATGCGTGTCTGTTGTACCTGGAGCTGGGGTGTTTTCGGGGCCTGTTGCGCTGGCGGAGGTGGAGGATGCGTTTGAAACGACGGAGGCGTTTTGCGCTGCGCGGAGCAGGGCGAGTTCGCGTGTTAGACGGTTGACCTAGCGTCCCCCTGGAATTAGTATATTGATGTTGCTTTTTCCCTCCAGCCCTCTTCCAGTAGATTTTTGTTTTCGTAGTACTTACAACCGCCTCCTGCTCACGCTCTAATTGCTGATGCAGCTCGGCAGCAGTCAACGGCCTCGGATGACGCAGCGGTCCTGGCCCAGAAAGCGACTCGACGCTGGCGAAGGGCACCGCGGCTGCTGGTGCGGGCTGATACATTTGCGGCGAGGGCAGCGGCGAGGGAATCTGTCCGCCGGCGACGGCATTTTGGTTCGAGGGCAAGATGTTCACAGAGGGGGATGTCGGGATTGGAGGGGGCGGCATTGGGTTTGTCGAGGCGCGCCTTGAGGCGGTGCGGGAGTGGGTGGACGAGCCTGGGAGGGTGTTGATGTCTGGCATTGCTTGTGAAGGTGCGTCGACGTTTGAGGATAGGGGTGATTAAGCTGAGGTTGGAATGGAAATCGGGGAGAATGGATGTCGAGGATATCGAGGGATGAAGATGAAGTGCGAGGAAGTTTGGCTTCGGGCTGGGCGAGTCGTTGATAAGAGTAAGGCGTCGCTAGGTTGGCGAGTCGATTGGATTAGATTGATCGATGTGATGAATCATAGGGCGTTGGTTGGAACTGTAAGGCTAGCAGTAGTGTCGGGAAACAAAGAGGCGGGGGAGATACCATTAAGGCGAGGTGACGTGATGATTCGTGGGAGAAATGGCGGGGGAAGGAGCGAGCGTTGCAAGGGGAAAAGGTTCAAACGCCAGGTGCCAGGCTCAGGTCAGGGGCTCGCTGACGCGCTAGGTGTTAATAACTTGGCCAGTACTTCGTATAGGTCAGCGATCATAGGCTCTGAACGCCACTGACGCGACCACAACCTGGGTTAGGTTCAGGGCGAGACACCGCTGCATTGACATATGGTGACGCGCTGTCAGGGGTAAATCTAGCGCTCAAAATCATCTCCACCCCGCTACAAAGGTGCGTTCAAGTAATGATTCATACGATCTCAATACTTCGGGATTGATTCCAAGGAATCACAACGGGGAAGCCATCGCAGCAGGAAGAAATTGGTCCTTCCTGCTTTCTGTATTCTCATCCCTATAGATGGTCAATCCGACTCGAAGAGTCGGAACCTGAGGCGGTGCCTATATAACCAAAATTCAAAAGTAAAGCAAACAAAAGCAACTCATACCCTCGAACCCGAACCCCTCGTGGAACTGTCGAAGGCCACGATCAATATGGATCAAGATAGCTCCCAAGACCGGCAAGGTGACTTCTAGAATACCACAACTTTCCGCAAGCAAGATCTGCCAAAGAGCAAAGGAAAAAAATAAAAGGAAAGAAAAGAGGAAAGCAAAAAGCAGAAAGAAAATAAGAAATCGCAAACGGAAAGTTTTTTAAACTCTTCCAAGCACGTCGAACATGTCGTCCTAGCAAACGTAGCCAGCAAGGTCAGATAAGCACTAAGAACCAGGACACCAGCAGAAAGCCAAAGACAGCAACATCGCCTCAGCATTCCACGGCATAAATAGAATAGCCATCCTTAGAGCAAAGCACAGCGTCTTTGTTAGACAAAAATAAGCCAAGGCTTAATTAAGCCCATGCGCCGACGAGGCCCATCAAAAAGGCGCCCGCAAAGACAATAATGCACGCAATGACGCGCTTCCTGCCGCGGAGGATCTCCCAGCTTTTGTCGCTGAGGAAATCCTCGGCGAGGAGCTCGACGAGAGATGCGTAGACGAGGAGGCCGGAGGAGATGGCGTTCATGGTTCCGACGAGGACGAGGCCGAAGGCTGAGTTCGGGTTGTAAAGGGAATGAGTGGCGAGGCCGATGGCTTGGCCGATGGGGGTCCTGTCGCCAGATTGTTAGTTCATGGGCTATTTAATTTTTACGTGGTAGAGAAGACACTTACGTGAGGCCGTAGGCGAGAGCCATGAGCCAGGGTCGGTGTGGGTGACCGGCCCAATCTATACAAGCAATGCGAGACCCGAGAGCCAAACCCTCAAAGGTTTCTGGCAGCTTCGTCAGTAACTGCGCATCGAGCACTGGCTAACAACGGAAAATAACTTACGGTGAAAGGCAATAGCAATCAACAAGACGATAAAGTCATTCCCAACAGACACGCTAAGCGCCATACCAATGAAAACGCTATGAAACAAAATGCCGATTTCAAGCAAAACGCATTGCAAGACTTCCTTCTTCAATCGCTGCTCGGGCGTAAGAAACCGGGCAGAGAAGCCAATCTCGGCGTTGGCATCATCGAGGGGCGAAGAAATCTGCACGGCCTTGTCGGCCGAATCGCGCCGGGCGAGGTTATCGCCCGGGAGGTTGTTGTTGTTATTGTTTGCGCCACCCTCAATTCGTCGATCTCTCATCGCGATGATGGGGGACGTGGTACTACGAGTGTCAGGCTCAATGATATCATCGTCGAGGGAGGTGCGCGACCTATTACCAGCCGACGAAGCCGTGTCCATGCCAACGGGTCGCAGGACCGCAGCCGGGGGTGCGCAATGCGAAAAGTGACGGGCGGGGCTGAACACCATCTCGATGACGATGACGAAGAAGACGCCTCCCAGCGCAATAGCGCCGGGCATGGCGGGGTAATCGGTGACCCAAAAGGCCGAGAGGCAAGGGTCTCCGAGGGAAAGGAATGCGGTGGGCAAGAGGTGCACGAAAGCCGTGGCGATGAGGACGCCAGTTCCGAAGTGCCGGACGACGAAGAAGAAGGCGTCCGGGATCTTGAGGGCCGGGAAGCGCCGGGCAATCATGGGGAAGCCGCAGGCGAACGAGGAGACAAACATGATGATGAGCAGGGCTCCGACGTGCAGGGGCACGTTGTATTCCTTGGGGTCGACGCCGCCATTTTCGCACTCGTCCCTCTTGGAGAGGACTCGCGGGGCAAGAGTGCCCTTGGCCGTTGGGGGGGAGGCCTGGGGTGCGCTGCCGTTTCCGGCGACGATACCAGTCGAGGACAGCAGGAAGGATGTAGCTAGAACGGAGAAGATCCACCAGGTCCACGACCAGGCCTTGGATTTGATAAACTGGCGTGTTAGGCGGCGGAGACGTTCCTGTACAGGAACAATCTCCAGACGAAGGCAGACACCTAGAGAGGGAATCAATCAATTCGGTCAGCTACCTGTCCAAGGAACCTTTAAACGCTCTCCGGTCAACCCCCGGAAAGGGGGGCGCGAGTATGGGGAGGAACTGAAACCAAGAATAGAAAGACAAAGACAAGAGACTTACGCCCGTCTGCTTCGCTGTCAGAATCAGCACGTAGCCCAGGTTTCTCCAATAACCCAAAGGCAGCCACCGATCCTCCAGACGCTTTCTTCAACATCCTCGAGTTGGCAATTCCATTGAGGTCCTCGCAAGTAGTCAAATCGGGGGCAAGGAACGGCGGGTTCTGGTTCCAGTTCGGATGGACCATGTCATCTTCAGTGCGAGATGGGCGATTCATCTTGGTGGCGCGCTCGGAAAACTGCGGTGCAAGTCAAGTGGAGTGATCAGAAGCAAGAAAAGGTCAAGCAGTTCGACAGTTAAGGGACAGGATCTACAGTGGTGCTTTTGTGAACTGAGGTCTCGGGAGTAGAATTGAATGTGCAAATAAGCTCGAGTCGGCCAAGCGGGAAATCTACGAAGTACTTGTAGTCTCCGAGTCGGCTTTTGCCCAGAGTTTTTCTGCGGGCACTTTAAGAGTACTCGTTTAATGGTCGAGTGACTTTGAGATACTTGTGACATGCGCGCACGTAACCCCACCAAGTCTCAAGCATTGACAGGAGCACCACAGCATTGTTTGATGGCTCGGAACTTTGCCGGAAAATAATATTAGGTCAGCCACGATTGCCCTCAACCTGGCATCATGTGGATTTTGAACTTTGAATTCCAGTGCCCTTCGTAAACTACGAAGTACACTATCGCCGCTATCAGGAGGCAATATCCTCGACAACAACTACCCTGAGGGCTCGGGAATTTTCCGTGTAATTTATAAAATACGTGCAGTACTTGCACATCACATCCCCCAAGCATAGTGGCGCAGGTTCCATGTATCCTTGGCAGTGCTTTCATCTTCGTGATTGAGATTGCGGTTTTGCTCATATCGGGAAGACCCGGCCACTATCAGGGTGCCATACCCCCAAAAATAGCGATTTAGTGCTCTCAACCCATGCCCTCCCAGGCAAATTGGTGGTGGCAATCGACCCCACCATCCCTCAGTAACCCGAGTCACAAGCCGAGGCCTGGATCGATTTCCCAGAAACCTTGCCTGATGGACTTTGTACCCCGCTGTACCCTGTTGTCCAACTTCAGTTCCTGATTGTTCAACCTCATCTTCGTCTAACCAGTTTTGTCGAGATATCAAAAATCACAACTCGAGTCTCTGTGTCAGTGAGGGGGCGGAACGCTCAAACCTCATCGAACAGCTTGAACTCATCTCCGTCCCACGCTCGGTCCTCGCTAGATTACGTCGTCGATGTTACCTCGTATTTCATCTGTAACCAGAACGCACCGGGTTCTTTCAATCCCCACGGCACGCCCGCGTCGGACAAGGGTCCGGAGACATGAAAGAGGGAAGATCACCATTAACGTCCCACCAGTGTCGTCCCACCCACGCGGGCGGTGCCGGGTATCGGATCTGTGTAAAGGGATGAGCGACATCGACATCGCTTCGGAGTCGGAGTCGGGGGCACTCGTGAGAGGTCAACTTGAAAACACTTTCGCTTCATTCCGTCAAGAGATGCAAGGTGTGCTAGGGTGCAGTCCGTAGTATGATTAGGGTGCCAGGTCCCGACCTATCGGCTCCGCGATAGAGACCCAATGACTTCCGTGATTGGGTGTCACTTCCGTTTTAGTCTCCGCGCAGAACAATTTTTTCCGCATGAATCTTCTGGAACGAAAATGGAAAGGTTCTGGGTTACAAAGACTTGCTGATATTGAATATGATCAAGCTGAAGCTTGGCATCAACAGATCATCTTCGTGCGATCAGCCCAACCTGCCCAATCAGCCCGTCCCCCTCGATCAAGATGTTTTTGCCCTCATAATCAATCATAACACAGTTCTTGGTCGAATGCCGCCTCAACGAGTGCAGGGGAAGGGCAGTACGAAGTACTTGTAAATTCGAAATAGTAGAGAATAATTCCCAGTACTCACTAAACTTAAGTTGGTGGTTATTCTACAGACATTGAAATCAAATCTTCCAAAACACCAAAGTGAACCGTCTATGTTAAACGCCAACCCAAAATGCTGCATACCACCCTCTATCCCTTCCTCTAAGAGAGCAGAATATCGTACCCATCCTTGGTAATCCTCACCTCATCCTGCGTCAACCCATACTTTCTCCTCAGCAGCTCGAAAATGATGAGGCCCGCGCTCGTACTAGGCACCTGCCGAATCGTATTCCACCAAAACCCGCGATACAACCAACTAACGATCCCTCGGCCCTCCGAACGCGCCTCGGCTAGGCACTGAGCCCACGTCTCGCCATAAGCGCGGTAATATGTACGAAACATACGAGAGCGGAGCCGCGCAAGCCAGGAGCCCGTCTTGGGCTGGCTCCTCAGCTTCCGGGCCTTTTCGTCGATATCCTCGAGGTGGTTCCAGTGCTCGAATTGAATGTGGTTGAGCGGGTGGAGGAGGACCTGCTGCGTGACAGAGGCGCCGACGCCGGCCAAGAGGAGGAAGAGCGGCTCGATGGCGTAGTGGGGGCGGATGACGCGCAGGCCTTCGCTGTGCGGCCTCTTGCGCGCCAGGGTGTCGACGATGTCCTCATCGAGGCCCTCATAGTACCATCGCACGAACTTGTAGTAGCCTTGCGCTTTGATATACTCGAATGTGCTGAAGAAAACCGCAGAACCGCAGCTGTCTTTCACGAATGAGAGGCCCCATCCCGCGAAGATGCCGCGCATGCCGATCTCGCGCAGCTTGGCGGCGCTGAACGCCCACATACTCGCCGGCCTTCCGTTAGGATTCGTAGATATAACGTCCCGGTGGTCGTACCTCGCCTGGATAGCATCCAGAGGCGCCGCAACCAGGCTCTGTAACCCTCCGGCTAGGAACCCCGCCGTAAACGTATAAGACGGATCGGGAGGAGGATACACCCTCCTGCTCCCCTTCCCGCTCTCCTCATGCAACGTCCCCAAAATCTGCAAATAACTCGTATAAAGCACAGCAGCAACACCAACATTCGCGATTAAAGGCGGCAAAATCTGATCAGGAATGACGCTCCACCCATGATGCCTCACGGCCGAGGTCAACACCCCCGGCGTCGTGGCCCCCAACCATCCTTTAATCTTTCCCGCCCAGGTCGTCGGCGGGTGCGCGGCCAGCAGCTCGCTGCGGGTCTGGTGGACGGCGCGCGCGTAGGCGAGGTAGTCGACGCGGGTGCGGAAGAAGGATTTCGCCGGGGCGCGGAAGTAGAAGGCGATGGCCTGGCTCGTTAGGGCGCGTACGGAAGCGGCGGAGGCGGCTGTCGCGGCGTTGGTGCGCGGTTGCTTGTCCGGGAGGACGTGGTCGGGCGGGATGACGGGCCCGAGGACGCCATCGAGGGGGTTTGTCGGGAGGCCGAGGTCCGGATCATATTTGGAGACGTCGTCAGTGCGACGCATGGTGGTTGGGGCGCATGGTCTCTCTCTCTGATGAGAGACGAGTCGGGAGGTTGAAATTAAGTTGATCGGGTTTCTGCGGCTTCGGAAAGTGTAAGCTCGGAGCGTACATCTAGTCACGTGATAAAAACGACATTGAACGATCTCGATTGTGACAATCATTGCGAATGCAGAAAAATCGGAGTCCTCAATATCATATTAGGAGACACCGAAACTAACATATGTGAAATAGCCGTGTGCATGATCACCTTCTAGGAAACACCCAAGCTTTAATATCCCAATCATTCCTGGATTTGTCCATCCTAAACACCCATTCCACCTTCGCTGACCAACAGCGTCTCAAATAGAAAAAATGTCCCCTTTGGGGGAAGATATGTGGACATGTGGCGGAGGGCGACTCCGTTGATTGGATTGGATCCGTCCAGCAGCCTCGATTTTTCAAGCGGTTATGCCAGAGCCTGGTCATACCCCTCCTGTATTTTCCCCTCCCGCAAAGGCTCAAACACTCCTCCATGACAAGCCATTCTTTCTCCCATTGTTTCCTCACCGTACTGCATTTCGTCGTATCGCCTACACGCAATGGAGGCTGTTGCTGCCTTGTCCTTAGCGTGCAATGTTTTGCAGCTCGTCGAACAGAGTTACAACGCTGCGACGTTCGTCAAGAGTCTGAAAGATGGGCACGCGCCGGAAGGGAGCCTGCTTGGGTATTCAAATTCACTTCGAAAGCTTGGGGATGAACTCCGACAATTGAGCGATTCGCAAGGCCAAGGTAGTATTTCGGAATGCGATCAGGGTCTCCAGAAGCAAGCGAAAGCTATGCTGGACGTCGCCGGTGAACTAGTCACGGAGCTAGAAAAACTCAAGGGATCCAAGCGGATGGGTGCTGTGAAATACTTGATCTGGAAAAAAGGGAAAATACGAGGACTGGAGAAGGACTTGGGTCAAATCCAGCAGGACATGGATACGAAGGTTCTTCTTGATCTTCGGTGAGTTTATTAATCGTACAGAAATGAGTATTCTACTAACTCCTCCTAGTAAGAGATTGATGCAGGATCAGGAACAAGTTGCCTCCAGCTTTGGGCATTTGCGCCAACAACTACAAGATTTCATCCTTAAGCAACTTAGGGCCAACGGCACTCCATTATCGAACAAACTTGCTGACCAGCTCACCAAAATCCGGGATGATATCCAAGCTGCTATCGAAACGGAGGGCAACAACACGCGGGACCACTTCGATAGGAGGCTAAACGAGGCTGCTGCTCAGAGACAGGAAGAGCGACGGCTTGAACACAGCGAGCAGAATGTCCAGCAATTTATTAAGAGCCTTTGGTTTGAAGAAATGCACGCGCGCCTCAATCAATCAGCAATTGAACATTTTGAAGGGACTTTTGAGTGGATATTCGAACCTACGTCTAAAGAGAGCGAGAGTGAACTTGATAAACCACGATGGAAGTCTTCTTTGTTCTGCGAGTGGCTGCGGAACAACAAGGGGCTTTTTTGGGTCAGCGGCAAAGCAGGCTCGGGCAAAAGTACTTTGATGCAGTTTCTTATCAACCACTCAAGAACAGAGGAAATCCCGAGGGAAACCCGTCAAGATGTGCTGATTATAAGCGCCTTCCTCTGGAAACCTGGGACAAACCCTTTACAGAGGAGCTGCAAAGGCGTTCTTTGTTCTCTTTTATACCAGATCTTATCCTCCCCCACCCACCAGGCCGCTGCGGCGCTGCTTGTCGGTCGGCTACGACAGGCTCATCTCAAGAGGTCACCTTCCGATTGGTCTGAGGGCGACTTAAAGTCGTGCCTTCGCGATACCATTGAATGGATGGGTAATAGTTGGGTATACATCTTTATCGACGGCCTCGATGAAGCAGACGATGCTTCACATGGCATTCTTGGGTTGGTGGATTTCGTACAGTCTTTGCCTCGAGTTAAATTATGTGTCTCCAGTCGACCCGAGCCGGCCTTCGTACGAAAATTAGAAGCGTTTCCGCACCTCAGACTGCAAGATTTAACGCGCGACGATATTGAGAAGTTTGTTCGCGCCAAGTTGTGTGATTGTATTGAGGAAGATGAAAAAGAAGCCGAATACCTCATCCTTTCTATCATCTGGAAGGCTGAAGGTGTTTTCTTGTGGGTTCGGCTTGTCGTCAACAGCGTATTAAGGGGGATTGACGAATCCGACGATTGGGAGTTTCGGAGAAAGCGCGTCGAGAATCTGCCGAACGACCTTACGAAAATGTACAACGCCATGTGGAAACGCCTAGGTGATGATGAACCCGACTATTGTGAAGATGCGGCGCTCTATTTCGGGGTGATGTTGCATCCTGATCTCCACAGTGTTCTATACAATGTCTACCAATCTGTTGCGATGATGATGCTTGTAGTGAGACCTCGGATTCGACAAGAGCTGCTGGAAAACCCGCAAGCTATCTCACGCGACGAATTGGATAAACGGTGCTGGCAAATAAAGGAGCAAATTCCAGCGAGAAGTGCTGGCCTTCTTGAGGTTTCTTTCCTTGACGAGGGAGAGCGGAGTTCCAGTGGCAAACGAGACTGGAGGCTCGCAACAGTGGCCTTTATTCATCGCAGCGCATCTGATTTCTTAGCCAACGAAGGCCGTGATATCTTGGCACACGCCAAACTCACCGAGAAAGATATATTTGAGGGTCAAATTGTGTTGAGTTTCATGTTTGACTACGAGATTCTCCCTGCTCCATATCAATTCTGCCCCCTTTTCTATCCTGGCGACAGCGCCATGCACATAGTAAAGGGCCTCCTGATGCTAAAACCGCACCTATCTTGTGCAGATCAGATCGGTTGCATCAATACCGCTCGCAGGGTACTTGAGGGGTTACCCGAGTGGCGAGACAAAAAACGCGATTGTTTAGGGCTGTTCGCGTGTTACGGATTTACTGAGGCCGTTGAGTGTGGCTTTGAATCGGAGATCAAGGAGCGGCTGGCTGACCAAGGGTACATGGACCAACTCTTGTCTTCGTTTTTGAGATTCGGAGACACGACATTTCTCGATAAATCTCCAGTCATCAGCTGGCTGCTCGACAACGGATCAAATCTCGACTCTGGAGAAACCGGTACTCGTGATACAGCGTATCCTACGCCTTGGATGGGGTATTTGCTTTGGCTCTTGTCCGGCCCTCCTCGGGGACTTGATAGCGACAAATGGTACAAGGACCAAGAAAGGATTCTTCCACGATTCATAAATCGAGGCGTTTCCATGGAGTCAAGATGCGCTTTAACTGCCTTCCAATTCGATGACGGCGAGCCAGGATTTGGCCATTGTACAGACTGGTTGGAAAATGGGAACGGAAATGACGTCTTCTCGCTCGTTGTTGAAGTAAGCGCGGGAGCTCTCACTCGCATCGTTTTTAGCAATTGGAAATCTAAGGAGTCACCTAATTTCGACTCTCTGATTGGTACGGCTCCAATGGACCTCAAGGTTATTGGAATCTTCAAATATGAAGGGCCGGGAATCCGCCCCCTTTCTATCCAGGAAGTTCTCTTGAAAACAGTAGAGATGGTAATCCACCTCGATCAGCATTGGTCTAAACGAGAAGGGCAGCCAGACTCGGTGAATCTTGAATCGCTCGGGGAATGCTTCTCGCAGGCTCGGCTACAGAAACTCTGGGAAGAGAATAAGAACGAAGTCATGTCCATCAAGTCAGCAGCACAATGGCTCGTCGACAGTGGGTATTTGCAACCGGAAGTGATCGAGCTCGATCCCTATGGAATTTTCACTTTCAACCCCACAATGGCTCCAGTCTCCTTCAGGGTGAAGTGACGCGCCTGCAACACTCCTCATAACTGACAGATACAATTACTTCCGAGCTGAATATTGACAGAGGCCCGAGGCTAGCCTCCATCGTGAGTGTGCTCGGCTCAGATGATATTTGATCGACGTCAAGATGATCTTTTCATCAAACAAAATATAAATGTATTCCTGACAAGATTGAATCTACGTGTACGGGATATCTTAGAGAAAAGAGAAAACAACGACGAAACCCATAACCCATCCATTTGCCTCCCGCTTCCCAACCCAGGAGACACATTAATCTCCTCGTCACCTCCCCATCACCTCCCCATCCCCTCGAAATCCGTCCCAGCAAACGGATTCCTATTCACAAACGCCGTCGCACTCTCCTTATCAATTCCACCTCCATGCCCATTCGCCTCCGCCATCATCCTCCCCAACTCAATAGTATCCCTCCCCTTCCACAACAACGAAACCGTCTCATGCACAAGCACCAGCCCCCCAGCCTTCCGTCTCACTTCCTCCCCATCCTCCCCTCCACCGACAACCCCTCCATCATCGCCCTCAGCATACTCAAACTCGGGATACCTTTCCACCACAAACTCTTGATGCCTCCTATGCTCTCTCCTCTTCGCCCTCGCAAGGAACCCCAGGAACCAAAGCGACGCGAACCCAAGCACGCCGCACGAAATCGTCGGCACCACGAACCACGCCACCGTCGAGCGCCCGAACCGAGCCGACGGGGGCACCCAGCTCGTGATGATGGGGTAGGCGTTGCCGAGGAGGTAGATCACGGCGCAGACCACGCTGAGCGTGGGGTTCACTGAGCCGCGCGTCATTTCCGTCCACGTCCTTTTGCCGCTGCCTTGCGTCCCTGGAACGGATGGGTGGTGCGGCGTGTTCACCGTTGATGTGGCCGGAGGGGTTCCGAAGCGGAGGATGAGGATGCCTAGGGCGAGGAGGAAGCCGAAGAAGGCGGGGAAGAGGTAGGCGGATGCGCTCGAGAGAGTGTTGTACGAGTCGTCCGGCCGAAGACGGGACGTGGCTCCTATGAGGACCATGCACGAGAGGAAGTGCAGGAAGAGAGCTCCCACGGGGGTCTTTTCCGAGTGGGCTTCCGGGGAGAACCATTTGTGGCGCAGGATACTCCTGAACCACCCCCGGGCCTGGAACCATCTCAGCAGACGGCCCAAGCTATAGTCGCGGTCCTGGGCGAAGAACTTGGCAAAGGGGAGGAAGCCCTCCTTGGCGATTTCTTGCTTCATGCGCGAGGCCGTGTAGGTCATGACGATGATGTTGCCCAGGGATGAGATGGCGAGGAAGGCGTTGAGGACGCGCTCGCCGGTTTCGCTGTTACCGAGGACGCCGAAGGTGCGTTGGAAGAATTGCTGGGCGACGTTGCCTTGGATTTGGGCTTCTTTGGGGACGACGACCATCTGGGAGCTGTGTTAGATGGGTGGGATTGGAGAGGGGGGGATGAAGAGAGGACTTACATAGCAGATGTTGACGGCCATGTAGAGTACGGAGATGATGGAGATTCCAGTCATCATGCCGAGGGGGAAAGTCCTTCGAGGACGTTTAATCTCGCCGAGAACCTGGAATATGATTAGCCTCGAAAAAAGAGAGAGAGAGAGAGAGGTAGACATACATAATTCGGCTGGTCAAACCCCGAGAACGCGAAAACAATAGACAAAAACGCCTGCGCATACCCATTCGCCTCCCCACTCGCCTCATCCGAAATATACCTAAAAGAGCTGTCCCTCGCCGTATTATGCCCGATATAGTTCGGCACCACGGCCCCCGTCTCATCGTGGAGCCCTCCTGCAGCGACGGCGATGGCCGTGGCGATGATCAGGAGTAGGATACCAACCTTGACGATGGCGAGCACGTTGTTCAAAAGGATGCCGCCGCGGCGCGAGATGGCATGGATGAAACATGTGGCGGTGGCCACGGCGATGGCGATGCCGCGGACTGCTCCGGGGCTAAAGTCCTCGGGTGCCGTGCCAGGGTGGGTCGCTTGGAGGGCACGCACGGCGAAGGAGATGGAGTTGCCGGCCATGTTGCCGAGGCAGATGAAGGATATGCCGTAGAGGCAGGCAAAGAAGAGGACTGTGTCCTTTTTGTAGCGGGGTTTGCGGTAGACGTATTGGAGCTTAAGGATGTTAGTGTCGTGTATTTGGTTAATGATGGGAAAAGAATGAAATGGAAAATAGAATAAAAAAAACCTACGTAATGGAGGTCACCACCGCTGCGAGGGACGGTTTGCTCGATGCCGTCGATAACATAGCGGGGCACGTTGAGCCCGTACTCGACGTAGACATGAGCGCCCGAGAGGCCGTATAAGATGCCGGCGAACCAGAAGAAAAGCGAAGCGCCGGTGTTGTTAGTGCCGACGACCACACGATTTGGGCTATTGAAGATTCCGGTGCCTTGAAAAGTGTTAGTGGGATGAATTGAGACATATGTGAGATATAATGTATATATTTAAGGAGAGTGTAGACAGAGAGATGGATATATTTCTGCTCAATCTTCGAGAGGAGAAAATACTCACCAATAATACGATTGAGAATCAAACAAGTGACATCGAGATAACCCAACCGAAACTGTTCGGCCGGCGCAGCGGTGACAATCTCATCGGGATTTTCAATCTCTTCCTCGATATCGTTGAAGAGCGTCCTCTGGGGAGGTCGCATGGGAGGAAAGTCTGTGGAGGCCATGATAGTGGTGGCCCTCGCCCTCTTTCTCCCTCTCTCTATGTCTTTCGCTCTCTCTTTCTATGGCGATCCTCAATGCTACAGTCAAGTGACTTGAGGAGAGGACAGGAGGTGGAGATCACGATGCTCTCCCGGTTTATTCCTCAGGAAGCAGCTGTTCGGTTGAAGTAATTTAGGGGCATTGATAAACAATACTCGATGGTGCCGCTAGGTTTGTGACTGAATCAGCCCTGGGAAGTGTCATCTGGGGGCAAAAGAGGAATAAGAGACAGAAGCGCTTTTCCTGGTGTCAGTGAAGACCAAGAGGAAATTGGCAGGGCGAAATAGATAACGACGACAATTACTTGTAATTCAGATTAGAAACTAGATTCTAGAAATCACAGATGCCAGAAAAATGCCTTGCCAATTCGTGCGCGCCCGCTAAACCCAGGAGAGTGAGCGAGAGAGCTCTTTAGTGTCGCATGCCCACCTCCCTGACTCGTTCCGACTTCGACAGCCTCGTTTTCGCTTCTTTTTTCCTTTGCCCGCATGCATCCATGCATCTTGTCCTTCAGGGTGGGTGTGGGCGTTACCAGACAAGGGTAGCTTCGTCCACCGGCATCTTACTCCGCCCCCATGCAAGTGCCAGTGAGCTGCAGGTTCTTCTTGGCGTGGTCTGGGATGGTCTGGTCATGTTATGGTCGGTCAATGCAATGGTTATGGTTATATTAGGTTGTCGCACAAACACTCTGATACCCCAACCTCGACGTCAATCTTGGGATTTCGGGGTGGATACCACGAATGGCCAAGTGTGGTGGAAAATCTTAGACAAAGTCCCGTGTCTGAAATCAATATCCGCAGCCTCGCCATGGTTTTCTCGAGTTTGTCAATGTCCTGGTGATATTGACTGGGGGGACGTTGTCCAGCCACATAGCGCTTGACCTTCGAGACGAGGCGAGTATGAACCAGCCCTCATTTTTCTTAATTTTATTCCCGCTCAGCTCCTGCAGGGACAAAGACATTCAAATGTTTCCCGCCATTGCCGGGGTTGAGTCTGGGGCTGATCTTGGAACTAGAACAGAAACATGGATCAATAGATGACAGCCTGACCGGGGTCTAATTAGTCCGTTTCGTCCCCCCGCAAACAATAGCAGCTAGGGCGGAAATGGATGGCTGTCAATCCCGTCATATCAATTGATCTGGTTTATTTCGTCGCCTAGCGCTTCCTCATTTGTGGCAAAGGCTGTGCTGGTCGAGGACGAAACTCGTTAACTCCGTATCATTCTTGTTCTTTTCTGGGCCTGGCGTGCAGCACACTGCGACGCAAGACATGCACACATTGGCCGATTCCACAACCCGTCCAAGCCCGAAGCGAAGGAGAACAAAAGAGGAACGAGTGAAGTAGTTCGTGGCGGTGCACCAAGCTTATGCACCAACCGATCAGCTGGTCGGTTTCAACTTCTCTAGCTGCTTGCTCTGATAACGAAGACCTTGACAAGGAGGGAAACAACCGAGTCTAGATAACGCTGGAAACGGCGACCAATATCCATTGGTCTGATCTGTACTGAGTTGACTCCGGAACAGACCGCCAGTGAGATTGGCACCCCTCTCGCCTCCATCCTCAAGCTGGCTGGCTGGCGGTTTTTTCCTTGACACCCTCTGTCTGCCTGTCCTGCACGCATTCGCGTACGAGGCCAGCCCCCTTCATCCCCCATCTTCCATCTCGTCTCAACTAACACCTCCACACCCTCATCCCCCCCTTGCGCACCCCATTGCTCGGTGCCTGATATGGGCTTACGCTACCACGGGTGCCAAGGTTTTACTTACTCGTCTGCGAGACTCCCCAGGTTGCTTGTCCCCATGGCTCGCATGCCTGCGTGACATACCCCCAGTCTCAAGCCAAACAAGCAAGAAAGCGAGGGTCCAGCTGTCATCGCCCGCTGCTCGCCCTGCGTCCAAGTGTGCGAGACGGGAGGGTTTCCCAATCCCTTGTTTTTCCTCTTTGTTAGAGCCCTTGCCTCGCCCCGAGACCCTGTCGTAATCTATTTTTCGATCTCGTCCCATCTCAGCCGCTCTTCCTAAGACCTTCGAGAAGCCGAACACAAGCATGGATCGGCATTTCTTATTTCTCCCCATCTTTCCCACCTTCCTAGTTTAAATCTCTCTCGATTCACATTCTGTCGTCATAATCTGAAATTCTTCCATACATTCTTCTTTCCCCTCTTGAATAAAAAGAATCTCTTTTAACATCTTCATTCGATCTTGAGCGGGCGGGTTGCATGTTCGACTGACCCCAGATTCCACCGAGAGCAGCAGAGACAGACAGAGAGGGGGACAAGAAGCCAATTCGATGGATGTTGGGGATACGCTAAGTATCGCGAAATTCGCCTGGGAGGTGTACAACTATGGATGGACTCCAGAGTTGAGAGCAAGTAAGATATCCCGCATCTTTCATTCATTTATGTTTCCGTTTCTCTTCTCTTTAAATTCCCTTTGCATGAGAAGCATCTCACATCGTGAACCTCGCTTCATCCCCTCGTCTCTCCTCTATAGCTCAGCAACCATCGTCGTCGATGGTCGCGTGAGCTGTTTCCTCTCTCATAGCTTCCTGCTACCTCACACATTCCAATCTCACAATTCCACCCTCACTAACAGCATCCTCCCAAAACAGGCACAAACTACAACTCCTTCGGCTCCGAAGTCCGTCACCTCGCCCAAAACCTCGACCTCCTCTCCAGCGTCGTCCTCCGCGCCCAGAAATCCCTCCACGACGCCGGCGCCCCCTCCTCCTCCCGCCTCCGATGGGACCCCAACTCGCTCTTCGAAATCGTCGGCGACTACGGCGCCACCCTGCGCGAATGCCGCCAGCTCCTCGACGACAACAGGCGCTTCGGCGCCGCGACGAATAATCCGCTGAGGAACATCGAGTGGAATGCGCTGGTCCAGGGGAGGGTGGATAAGTTGAGGGTGAGGGTGCAGATGCATAGTTTGAGTGTTCAGACCGTGTTGAAGCCTTTTGAGATGTATGTCCCTCTCTTTTTCTCTCTCCCATCTTTTATTGTTTTCTACGTGAAAATAGCTCTAATCTTGGTTGATATTTATAGCGACCTCCTCACACGAGTCCACGAAGACCTCTCAAGACGCATCGGCGCCGTGCACGACGAACTCCGCTCCGTCCGCGGCGAACTCCGCAGCCTCATAGGCGTCCTCGTCCCCGACCTCAAAACCGCCCTCGACGAGCAAGCAGCCCGCAAAATCCACCTGCTCACCGTCCCCGCCGACCTCGCGGGCGAATTCGAGGATGCCTTCAGTCTCCACCCAGCGTGCGTCGAGCCCGATCAGCAGCAGTACCCGGCGCTGCGGGATATGGCCGATGCTTTTATCTATCGGCTGGATCGGAGCACGGTGGGGTTCGTTCCCGGGTTGACTGTGACCGAGAGAATTCCCGGGGTGGAGCAGTATTTGAATTTGTTGAAGTGTGTGTTTTTAATAAAGAAAATGCGGGAGGCGGTGGAGTTGAGGGAGGCGGGCGAGTTGTCGCATTGGCCGTCGTATGTGATGGAGCTTGAAGAGGTAGGTCTGATTCTCCCTCGTTCTTTCCCTTGGACAAATTCTTCTCTGGACCTTCCTTTGCTAATAGAGGAGTAGAAAGTTTCATTTCAATGTGAAAGATTCTCACGAGGCCTCGTTGCGCCTGCCGTTAGCGATATCGACGGCGACATGCTGCAGCTGTGGATCGAGGAGGCGACGAAGCCTTTGATTGAGACTGTGATCACCAATGTCATGATGGAAGAGCTTCTCAACACGTAAGAGCCTAAGCCCATTCCCGAGTAATCAATCCAGGCTCCCATAGGCCAAAGCTAACGTTTCATTTTGAAAATCCCAGCGTTCTCTTCAGCACCTCTCCAAACATATCCAAGCGTCTTCGGCTCCTGAGACACTTGGGTTCCCAGGACAAACGATTCCGCCTCGTTATATCTGCCGTCGAGAGGCGGGCAAAGGGTCCACCGCGGCAAGAACGTGAGTCCTATTGATACCTTAATTCCCCGCTTCCGGTCGAGATGTCAGCCATAAACTAACAGTACTTTTAGTTATCCCCGTGGATTTTGACATTACATCGTCGACGCTCAATCCTGTTTATGCCCTCTCAAGCACGTTCGAGCCGCCCTTTGAAATGATTCTCACAAACAATAACCAGATTTATCCTCTGGCCTTTTGCACCCTAGACGACGCCCTCGAGTTTCAGCAGGGAGTGACGGGATTCAAGGTCGCCGATGGATATTGCCAGTAAGTCATACCTTCCCCGGTTCCCCCAAAATTTTCGAGCCCCCAACTAACAAACCAACAGAAACCATACAACAGCGAGCTTCGTTATCGAAGGGCAAGGCAGCTCCCTTTTCGAAGAAGCCTCCGTTCAACTCTGGCTCCACCGCCGGCTCCCAGGCAGCCTAGTGACGGACACAGCCGACTTTCCATCTCCCGTTGAACGCTCCATGTCCACCATCTCCATCCCATCTCCGCCCTCCAACACTACCTCGCGCTCTACGACCCTTCAAAACCCCCCAACCGTCGACTTCCGCTCTTCGTTCTCCCCCACAGAAACCATGGCCCACGGCCTTGGCATCACAAGCATCAGCTCCAGCCCCGGCCAAACCTCAACCATCAACGGCAACCATAACAGCCACCACAATCCTCAGCAGCCCCGCTCCTCTCCGCTCCCATCTTCGCCCTATTTCCAAAACACCCACCGATCCCAAACCATGACCTCCTTCGGTCCCCTCAGCACGTCGCCCGTCCAAGACCCACCACAATCGCCGCCCTCCTCTAACGGCAGGCGAGACTCCGTCTTCTCCTCCCTCTTCAAACGCAACAAAAAACCCCGTGCGCCCAGCATAACAACCACCAAAACCCAAAAATCCTCCTCGTCCTCCGCCTCCAACACAACCGAAGCCACCGTAACCGTCCTCTCGCCCACCGGCCGCGCACAAACCGCCGTCATCCACACCAAACCCCTCAAACCCCTCCTCGTCCTCTTCACGTCCAACGCCCAGCAAAACACCCGCGCCACGGTCGTGATATCCATCGACGAAAAGACCTTGCCCAACCCCCAGCGCTGCTGGTGTCAACAGGGAACCTCCCCTGAAGGTGGTCCTTGCAAGATCACGGCCATAGAGCAGTGCCAAGGCGCTAAGCCCCTCGAGGCGAAGCGGTTGCAGAGCCGTTCGGGGGAGTGGGATCTGTTAGCCCTTGCGGCGCCGAGGAGGAGTTCGCTGGCAGCAGAGTGGAGGGGTTTGAATCGGTTGAGTATTTTGTTCGCGGGGCCCGAGGCGCGGCTGGTTTTCGGGGGCACATTTTGTAGGTGCGAGAGACAGACGGAGGGAGAGGTGCTGGAGTGTATGCGGAGGGGACATCTGGGGCTTTTGGGGATGGCGAGGGTGTTGTATCGGATTCAGTCGACGCAGTGGTACAAGGGGCGGTATTTGAACTCGGTGCATATTTCGGATCGGTCGCTGGGGGAGGGGCCTGGTGAGGTGGGGTGGACTGGGTCGTGATCTGCTCTTTTCATTTTGTCTATTTTTTATTAAAATTTTTCCCTTGTCCTTTTTGGCTTTCTTGGGGGAGAAAGGTTTTGGGGGGCTACGACTACGATGGTGCTTCCAAAAAGCGTATGGCGTTGGCATAGACGGACGGATAGGCAATGGGGAGAGTGACGATGATGGGAGAGTGGTGTTCAGCGTTGTAATTAGTGTAATATGAGGTTGTATATATTGATTTCCAAAATGTATTAATCGACCAGTGTTTCTTGAGTCGACGTCTCTTAGACACACCCAACACTTGTAAAGCCCGGGGCACTCAAAAAAAAAAAACCCGCTCCGTCTCACTCTCGCCAGAGCTTCGTCGAATTATTGGGGAGATCACAGCATGAAGAGGGCATTTTCAATCTTGGTGTTGACAGAATGAGAATTGAAATGTTCCCAGACAGGAAGGCAATACGATTTAGATGAAGATGACAATGGAACAAGAATAACAAGAAAAGGAAATAGGACCGAAAAAAAAAGTGAGAATAAATATTTCGTAGAGAAAGACGCAAAAAAATAAATTCATGATTCGGCCCGGGCTCGATCCGGGGACCTCTTGTGTCCAGCACCTTGTGGATGTTAGACAAGCGTGATAACCAACTACACCACCGAACCAATGATTGATTTGTGATCGGGTCCACCTCACAATGCTATTTGGAGCTTCGACAACGCCAAGCGACGCCAGCAATTTATGATGACGACATTCCTGAAAATGGGGGAAAGCTGAAATCAGAGCTTCATGATGCCCCGCCATTGGAGATGGGAGCTCCAAATGACGAGGAGAGAATAGACGAAGTCAACTTATACAGGAAGAACCGATCTCACGTAAAACTTCAATTGATGAGCGTATTGAATGTCGTTACCGAAAGTACAAGACGGATTGAAACAAAAACCGAACAAAAGGCCATTTTTTCTTAGCATCTCGTGATACCCAGTTATTCCCTCATAAACAATCGAATCAAGTCAAACGAAAAGCCTCCATAAAAAAAGAAGTAAAAAATCAAAGTCGTCACTTGCACTCTTAAGAGGTCGGGGCAGGCGCAGGAGCGCTCTTTTCACCCGCTGGCCCTGGGGCAGGGGGCGTCTTCTCATGCTCCTTTCCAAACACCTTCTCAAGACCAGAGGCCTTGTACGCGCTGCCACCATGAGCCTCCTTCTTCAACTCCGCCAGCCTCAAAGCCTCGTTATGAATATCCTGCACCTGCCTCGAGCTCTCAGTATAGAACTTGACGATCTTCTTCCCCGTGGGCGTGTTGCTCGCCTTTTCAAAGAACGACCCAATCTCCGTCAAGAAGTTCTTTCCCTTGGCCGTGATGCCGTACGACTCGTCCGCGGCCCTCGCCCTATCGGCAGCGTGGTACTTCTCGTCGAGGTGATGCAGAGTGGCGCAGAACTTGTTGGTGACCTGATGCTTGTTGTCGAGCTCGATGGCGCGCTCGAGGGCCGCGTCGCCGATGATGTAGCCGTGGGCTAGGTACTCGGCCAAGATGCGGGCGCGCGGCTTCATCTCCTGCGTGATCTCGTCCGTGTCGCGGTCGGCCGCGTGCACCTCGGGGGTTCCGCCTTCGGAGGTGGCGCCCGTGGGGCTTGTCACGGTGATAGTGTTGGCGCCGAGCTGGGTGTTGTTGAGGAGGAGAGCCGTCTTCATGGCCGTTTCCTTTTCGAAGGTTACGGTGGCGGATTTGGTTTCGGCGTTGGCAGTGACGTGGATGTCGGACACCTTGCCGCTGTTGAGACTGTTAGCATCAATTGTTCTTTTGTTTTACGCCTATCATGAGAGCCATGCCAGCTCTCTCGTCGTAATATCACACCACGAAGTTTCCCGAGGGGCTTCAGTACGCAGCTCTCATTGCCGCAAATTGCCGCGATGAGGATATTTACTTACCAAAAGCTGAAAAAGTCCCTGACCTCATTGTCGGACGTCGACAATGCGATATTCCTAACCTCGACGGTGTTGGCAGTGGACGTCATCTTGGGCGACCGTTACTGTAGCTGATGAGGAGAGGTGGGGTAAATAGAGTGGGAAAGATAAGATCAAGTTACGTGTGAGATGTTTACACGGTTGTTTTGTTGTTTTGTTTGAGCGGGATTGACAAAAGGTAAGAGAGTTCACAATGTCGAGGAAGTAGGTGACAATCTTCACTGGGAAAGAGCAAATCTACTTTAAATATCCTCTGGGAAGGAAGAAATGCTGCAGCCTACGGGAAGGAGCAAGAAGCAAGCAGAAGCAAGTGAAGTGAGGGGCAAAACATGGGAAGGCGCAACGACGTGGGCTTCGTGTTTGACGACGTCATCAGCTCATACGATTGTACCGGTACGACGTGAGCTTGTGTGGAGCGGGTACAAGTTGAAGGTACCAAATCATGTCGCGGAACGGGACGGGCACAGTGTGCAAGATCTGGTGACAGCGGCAGTGCAGCACGTCCTGTTGACCAGATCCTGGAGATAGACTTTGCCGGAAAGGCAGCCAGAAGAGATTTTGTGGCTTTGCGGTGCTGGAAAATGACAGTTTGCAAAGCTGCCAGACGCCCTGGATAAGCATTGTCCTACTGAGGTACACTACAGGGGACTCCTGTGCTTGAAGTGTTTCGCAGCAGGGAAAGTTTCCAGGCCAATCAATGAGACACCAATGGAGCTTGGCGAAGGGTACAATACACTCTCGTCGTTGCTAGGCTGCATTCGGAGACCCACGCGAGGTCGCCATTCTTGCTTGCATGGTCTGCATGAAAAGACCGCATCGTGCTGATTAGCTAGGGACTGCCGATGCTCTTACAGTGAATTCTGATGTTACGAGTTAGCGAAATAGCCTCAGGTGAACGGCCTCTCCGTGTCGCGACCCCGAGGAACATGAGTCGGTCGACATGTTCGGCGGCATTTGTGTCTAATTTAATCATTGACTACGAGACTTTTATCGACTAACCCCGATACTTATCCGCAAGGGAAAGTTACACCGGGTGTCCTATCGCTTAAGATTGCCTTTGGAAGGATTGTCTGACCAGTCGCCTTTCGGAGGCTTTCAGGTCGCACGTCAATGTCAAGGGCTGAGTTGCTAATCCCAGGTTGAGGCAAGCTCAATGAGGCGGGGCCCGAGAGGCCCCCGTAGAGGGTGATATTCATTTTGTGAGGGCCTTATTCAGGTGTATTAGTCCTTACCAGAAAATGTCGAAACATGAGCTCCCAGAAGCAGACTGAGGCCCGTGCCATCTGGCATGTGAAGTTCTAGAGAACAATTCCTTCGCCTAGCAGTAGCCAGTCTACGAAAGTAAGGTCTGTATAAACCCAAAGCGCCTTATCGAGTTTGTACCTAGAGTCTCCCAAGAACAAACCATATTCTGCTCTGCATTTTATCTCAGCGAAAGCTCATCTACCACTCCCAAACGACCCACCCATCTGAACCCCTTCGAGATGCCTCCAATACCGCCCCCCGGTTACAATTGGTCCTTCGGCTATTTCCTACTCGCCCTTTTCGCCGCTGTGTTGTCCATACTTTGTGGTAGGGCTATCATTGTAGGCCTCGGTTTCCTGGCCTACTACCTCGTCCTGCCTCGACGCGACTTGATCATCCGGTGCGGCCGCAAGGCACAAGACCTCCTCCATCTCCCCGAAGGGATGCGCGCCTTTTCCAGAACGGACCCCGGGATGACGGATAGCGAAATAATAGTCGGCGCCAAGGGGTTCATGTCTGCCGGCCTGATATTCGCCGCCCTGCTTGCAGCCGCCATTGGCCGCGGAACAATATGGTATCCCCCCACGATAATCATAATTAGTATCTTTCCGGCCCTTTTACTCCCTATGACCTGGTTCACTCTTGTTGGGATGAAAAACGACCGTGTGGAGCACGACGTACCGATACCCATGGAAAGGCGTCGTCGATGGATGTCCCAAGCTCAGCTGGATGCAGAGAGGGCGAGCCAACTAACGGCGGAAGCGGATGCAGAAGCGGAGGTTTGCAATGCGATTTGGGGTTATGACCGGTAGAATACGGCCATCTGTGTAAGTATTCCATTCATTGTCGCTTGGTCTGAGGGCTGCAACTGACAACAGCATTAGACTAGCCTTTAAGAAGTATCAAGCATAGATCCATGGCGCCTTACACTCAAGAGAGAGCTCTGGAAATATGGCTTCCCGCGGGACGGGAGGGAAGTTCCTTCATGGGCCCGGTGTATCTCACACGGGCAGGCAGGCCTTGACGTGTCGTTATCCATAAAGGTCTGGGGTCTGCTTTCGAAAGAAAGCCGCGAAGTCTTGAGGGATTGGTTGCTCTTGCCATCGTCCCTCTTCTCCAGCTGACTGCAATTGCACCTGCCACTCCGAGACAGTGCGGATTCGCGTCGCAGTGCACACCACCAAATAAACGAGTGTACTTGCTGGAACAGCCCATTTGCATGTGATTCCACGTGCATCTCAAAGCATCATCATCGCTCCATCCACTCAACTGATGTCTTTCTCGAACGGCCTTGGCCGAGCAGACCTTTTTTTAATGACTACAATTTTTTTTTTCTTCTTTTGTTGTTGGGGGTTTTGGGGGGTAGGGGGGGTTCCCGGATCCGACTCCGATGCCGGATCAGCCTCGCGATCGTCTTGCTGCTCGATCGCTGGACGGAGTAAACATTCTTTTTGGAATCTGGGCTTGCTAGTCCCATCGCGCTGGACGGGGCTTCAGTGCTAAATCCGCGGCGGACTCCGTGCTAGGCCCTGAGATTTGCTCATGCACTCTCACGTCCTGCATGCTGGATATCGGCCGTGAAAGGTAAAGGTCGTGGACTTCTTGTGGGTTAATTGATCGAATTAATTCGCGGGCCATGTTCGTTCTTTTGAATTTGTTTTTTTAGAGGTTCGTTCCGACGACCAAACCAGGATCTCAGCTTCGAGAACAGCCGGAAAACATCTGCATGCAATATCACAATAGCGTTACCGATCGTGTGATCGAAGAGGCAAGCATTCGCAATCCGCGGCTCCGTTGGCTTTCGAGGTTCCGACTATCACAGCACTCGTTTCCGGCTACTCTATGACGGAGCCAAGGACATCAACGATTTGGAAAAGCTGTGGACGTCGTCCCGGTTTTGGTTCAATGTTCATTGGATTCGAAACTTGTATTCACCATACAATTCGAACCCAAATGCCAATATGCATGCTTGTACAAGCCCCGAATTCCAATCAAGAGCCATTGGCCAGTCAAATGAAGCGAAATATCCATAAGAAGTACAACCATTAACAGCCCATTTCTTTTTTTTCTTCCCCTTCCTGTACGATGATAGCCACATTCCCCTAAATCGTCTTGACCTTAGGAGGAGCCTGGAGTCTCCTAACAATGCTCTGCACCGCGACACCAAGGACCATGAGGGTCTCGAGCCCGAGGAGTCCGATCCACAAGGTATTGAGAATCTTTTCCTCGTGGTCAAAAGCGTAGCCTTCCATCATTTGAAGGAGGAGCGGGTAGGATGCAGTGACGAAGAGAAAGACCTCGGTTACGTAGAGCGTGTACCAGTAGGGTCTACCAAGTGTTAGTTTCCCACGAGCTCACGATATAATCCCCCGCTCTAAAAGAAGAAGCCACGTTGCGAGCAAAAAGAGAGGTTGAATTTGGGTTGGGAGGATCTTACTTCGAAGTCGGGGTAACTCTTGTCCACCGAATGGGTTGTGTCTCATGCCACTGCGATACCTGAACAGCAATGACGAGTCCGCCGGCGATAAACACCCATAACAGCATCACACGCTGAAGCAGCGTGGGTTCGAACCCGAGAACGACAGCTTGGAAAGTCATGGCTGCTCCCCCTTTTTTATAAATCCTGCTCTCAAACGTCTTATTCCTTAATGTTGGCCTTTTTTAGAAATTCCGCCCCCGTCGGGCGCAGTGCGTGCGTGGGGTTGGAAGGGAATCGAATCCTCCACTCCTCGCAATTTAATGGTACAAAGGCAAGGATTCCTTCGGGCTGTTACGGTCAGAGCGATTTTTTGTTTCTAAAGAAAGAACCCAAAACACTTTCTGACGTCGTTATTCTCCTTTTGCGGGGTTTTAATTGATGATAAAAATATTGTATTCCGGATTCGGTATTGAGAAAGGTGTCACGTTGGCGGACTTGCTGCAGAGTGCTGATTGAGTTGATTTCGAAGAATTGATTTGTGAACTTCCACGTGGCCTTCTCTTGGGATATGGGTTAGAATCGCTGGCGAGGCTTTGATCATTTACGCGCCCGGATGGGTCAAAACCGATAGATTTCTGGACGGGAGGCTGCAGATGCTGGAGCCGGGCCAGCAGGTGTTTCAAGAACCTGAGGGAATCCTGTTCAGGAACAGGCTTCTCTATCAGTTTCGAGGTGAAATGAAGTTCGAGGGGCACAGAACAAAAGCGAGGATGAAAGAATGCAGAGCTTTGATATAGCAATCATTTTGCACAAAGGAGAGACCGCTTCAAGCGAAGCGCTTTGATGGGATTTGTACGACTCGCGGGACTCAAACGCTGGTTCTTGATCGGGGATTACCCCGCCACTGATTGGCGGCATTATTCTTCCCGGATTTCCTTCCAGATCTGATCACGCCTAAATGGTCATCGTTTAGGGCTTGCGACCCGTCTTTCCGGGATCCTGGTCCGACAAGTGGAGATTTCTGAGCCTGTCCTGATTGGGCGTTTGGACTGGAACTCCGGGTGCGTCCGGTTCTCGCTGTCGGCGTAGACGGTAGTTGGCCGTCAACATCGCCAACGTCCTAATCTTCTTTTGGTTGAACGTCATATCAATTCGGGGGTCTTGCATACCCATATGTACGGATGACTAGCTTATAAGTTCGCGATTCTCCTATGTCGTGCTTCCATTCCAGCTCAGCGTTCAGAGAAGGGAGGGGATGGTCGGCCATTACAGTGAGTGCGGTCACCGGGCTATGATAGCCGGAACTTGGCTCCTCGTTGATAGACACCCTCTGGGTCCTTTCCCTCTCGCCGCATCTCTCGTAGTCGTGATTTCACACACACGACCTTCATTGGCACCTTCATTTCCCTCTATTTTCACTTCGCTTGCCCTTCATCGCGACGACCGAGATGAGGCCTTCATGAGTCCATGGAAGCTGCTAAACGAGGCTAGTTACTATGTTACTTGATGACTTACGACGTCAATCTCTGTTTTCGCTACCCCAATTCCAACTGTTAGCTGCCTTCTTTAGACGACTGACTCCGACGACAAACTAGGAAATGAAGAAAAAAGCCCGAGGAAGAAAAGAGAGAAAGAGAACCAATAGATGGACTGGAAAAATCCTCAATTCGGGTCAAACGCGAATAATATACAGAAAGACACATGTCAAGTGGTTTTCTTGATCGTTTGAGGGCCAATTCGCCTTAGTCTCCAGTCTTCCTCTAGTACTAGTCACAGAAACAGTTGACGAATTCGACAATGGGAAGACCTCATTTCAATCACAAGCCTGTCGCATCACTACATAAGATTGAATGAGTAGTTGGTCTCCGCAAAGAGAGGAGCTAGTTTTCCACGAACGCGCGACGATGGTCGAGGAAATGCGGGCGCGTGAGTATTTCCACTCACTTTTTGGACACACCCTATTCTCCCAGGCAATGGAAATCATGATGGCGAGGAGACTTCTCCAGTAGCGTGGGGAACCGGGCTAGATAACGCATGGAAAATATGTGCCGATATCATCAGGCTTAGGTCGCTCAATCTCACATGCTCAGCGAACATGGTCAACGATGTGGATAAAAGCCCCCTCTCTGTCCCCAGACCCTCTGAGTCCTCTTTCTCCGTCTCCCCCCATACACACTCTCTACTCTCTGTCTCTACTCTCCATTTCTACTCCCTACCACACACACACTCTCTCTCTCCGAGACACCACACCCTCTCTCCATCTCTCTCACACACACAAACACACACGTATTCAATTTCTCAACTTACTATCCAATAAAGTGACCATAACCATACACCAACCATGCGGCTATCATTCGTCGTTGCATTATTCACCCTCTCTCTAACGAGCCTGGTCTCCGGTCAAATGTTCGACTGGGCCAGAGGAGGCCTCAGTCCCAAATCCCGCTTCCGCGTCTATCCCCTCACCATCACCGGGGACGACCGCCAAGGCGTCGAAGACTACGAGCCTCGCTGCTGGGAAAAAGAGATCCGCCCCGCCAAAGTATGGATCCACTCCCACCCGGCCGCATACGCATCGAGGTCATTGTCCGGAATCCGATGGGTTTACAACATCCGCATCGAGCCCAACGGCCAAGCCAAGGAGGTCCGGGATGGCTTAGCGCTAGGCACTTATGTGGCCAAATCCGCCCTGCAGACCTGCCGTTGGTGGGGGGCCGAGAAGGCAGGAATGATGAGGATAGACCTCGTCGATGCGTGGCAGGACAAGGGGATGTCAAGCAAAGACGGGTGGGGCGTCCGCCTTAATTTCGAAATCATGAAGTGCAAGAAGGGCACGTGGTGCGAGAAGGAAGTCAAGTGGGATGAGAAGGAGTCCCAGGCGTTGCTGGATTGCATTTCTCATGGCATCGTTAGGGCCATGTGCAACCCTGACGACATGAAGATCATGCTTCGAGATCCGAGTTCGCCGGACAGACGGAGCTTGGAATTGGATGCACCTGTTGACCGTGATGACGGAAATGTCAAGGACGCGGAAAGTGTTCCTAAGAAGGGCCCTCTCCAGACGATCGAGGACTGGGCCCGAAACGCCGTCGAAACTGTGGGCGAACGTCTCGGGGAGCCCGGCGTGGAGATTTCCATCGGGCGACCTGGTTGGAGAGAACGCCAGCAGAAGCGGGATGTTCTGGATGATGCCGACTTGGAAGATGTCCTAGACGGGGATGCTGCTGGCCTGTACACGCTCGGTTACCTCAATCCTTCAACAGATCTGGGAATTCAAGAAGAAATCACCAACCACTACGGGTTTGATCATGGCAGCCACGTAAAAAGGGAAGCGGAAGACGAAGCTCCTCAACGCGGGTGGTTCCAATCCATCGGAGACTGGTTCCGCAACAGGTGGCCTTTCAACCGTGGAAAGAAGGCCGAGGATGAGAAGCAACAGGGTGGCAGCGACGCCAATTCGGCAACCCTGCAGGTGCTGAGCATCGCAAGACGCGGCGAGGAGTGGACCTTTGATGGTGGCTTGGCCGACCGGCTCAGGAGAGATTTCCGAGCCATCTGCAGGGATGCCTCTCGGAGCTGGACCTCGGAGGCAAAATTTGCTCGAGTGATTTGCCGCGAGGTATTTTACCGTACGGGAATGGAGGCGGAGACGCCATCGCTTGCCACGGTTGGTGGGACCCCGGGACAAGAGCCGGTGTCCAGAGACGTGGTTCTGCACCGAATCGTCGGGGAATTCCAAAAGGTCTGCAAGGAGGTTGATGAAAACCAGGCAAACCAGATCTCGCCGCTCGTCAATATTATTTGCAAGCACATGCCCAAGTCCGATGAGTCTTTGAGCCAAGAGCCGGGGCTGAGAGACGCGGTGGTCCATCGCATCGCGGAGGATGTCCAAAAGCTATGCACGGAGGTCGACGCGAACCAGGCCAACCAAATTTCGCCGCTCCTCAATCTCGTATGCAAGGAGATATCTTCCCCTCAGGACGCGCAGGAGAAAACAGTTGCTAAGCGTGTCGAGCCGTTGAACCTAGCATATGGATTGACCGACGCAGCCAAGAACCGAATCGTGGAGGATCTCCAGAAACTGTGCAAGGAGGTAGACGAGAACCAGGCCAACCGGATCTCGCCAGTTATCAATCTGGTTTGCAAGCAGTTCTCCTCCCATCCGGACGCGCAGGAACACGCAGTTCCCGAACCCGAAACACCAGGATTGGTCGACGCGGCGAAGCACCATCTTGTCGAGGATCTCCAACAAATGTGCAAGGAGGTGGATGAGAATCCCGCTAACCAGATCTCGCCGCTCGTCAATGAGCTCTGCAAGGAGATATCTTCCGGTCTCGGTACGCAGGGGCAAGCGCTTGCCGCGCGCGACAGATCGGTTAGACGTAGCTTCACGAGGTTGAGCGACAGGAAAGTACAGCGAATGATCCGTAAACTCCACGAGAAATGCAGGAAGATCGAGGAGGGCCGAGCTCGGCACGCACGACTTGTCGACCGAAGACTATGTAAGAAGATATCTTCCCATCGAAATGCACAGGAACAAACAGTTGCTAAGCGTGCTGGATCCGTTAGGCTCGACTCGGTCTTAAACGACGTGGTGGTATCCCGAATCCTCGATGACTTCCAAAGGATCTGCAAGGAGGTAGACGAAGGTCGTGCCACGCACACCCCGCCTTTCGTGAAATTACTTTGCAAGGAGACGACCTACCATCGAGGCGCGGCGGGTCAAACTCTCGCCAAGCGTGGCAAAGGGGACTGGGTGGACTGGATTCTTAGCGAGGAGGTCACCCGCCGATTCAAGGCGCCGTGGGGGGAGGCGGGCCAGCAAAGGGGGGGCGGCCCGGTTGCGAAGAGTACGGGGTGGGTGATTGACCGTGTGGACGAGTTTTTGGGAAACCCCCCGCGTATCACTGACTCCGAGAACGGTGAAAAGGAGTGGGTGCCTGAGCATCACGATACAGAACAGCATTGGGATAGCGGAGAGCAGAGCAGTGGAGAGGGAGAATGGAAACCGGACAGCGGCGAGCAGTGGAACAATGGAGGCGAGTCCAATGGAGAATGGTCGGAGGGTCAGGAATGGGAGAGCTCTAACGATGGTCAAAACCACGAGGAGAGCCAGCCCAGTCACCCCCCGTGTCCATGCCAAGACTATCACGGTTAAGGGAGAGCACTGGGGAGCGAC